TTCGGTTTGGTTAGTTAGTTTTAGGTTTCGTACTTGTTACGTACGTTACGTTAGTAGTATACTAACTTACTACTACTACTACTACTACTTCCTACTCTCCTCTCCTACCCTCTCTCTCTCTCTCTCTCTCTCTCTCTTTCTCTCCACCATTACCTTGAAATTTTTTATGTCTTCATCGCTTTACACATTCATCATTTCATATTGCACAGCATCAAACAGCTGTCTCCCTCCGACCCAAGCAAGAAAAGGAAGTTAGAAGAACAACTTGTCTTGCCATTGTCAAAGCACAAGTTTCGGAACAGGCCCTACAATCTCGTGGAGGAATATCCAAGCTCTGACATAGATGGTCATGGATCAACCAAGCAGGTTGATGTTACAACCATGCTACACTCTAAGGAACACTTATCCAATCAAGAATCTCCTACCCGAGCCCCAACTGAGATGAAACAACAGGACTTTGCTAGAGATGGCTATAGCATCGCCGACGAGAGCGAGACCATATCGATAAACCCTGAGATTCTAAACCGAACTGATTTCTCGAGAAGTCTAATTTATGATCAACCATCAAGTTCTTGTGGCAGTTGCAGTGCTAGTGACTCTTTCAAGAACTCCATATATTCTTTAGAAAGCAGAGCTATTGAGAAAAGAACTAAGGGTGAGTCAAGCTCAAACTACACCAAGTATTTGCAGCTAGAATTAGAATATTTAGACCCAGATGAGCAAATGGTGGAATCAAGCCCCTATGATGCCAGTTATGAGTACTCTGATAATGATCGGACAGCCAAAGAGAACTATTTAGATATGGAAGCAGAAGAAAGTTCCGTTCTTTCTGACAATGATTCTTCTCATTTGTATTTGCTCTCATCTGGAAGATGGAGCATCAACCAAGGTGAGCTTTTGAAACTAGAAGTCTTGTCATGGAGGAAGTATCAGTAGACTACCAGTAATCCAGTGTCCATTGGAGTTATCACGTTCCAATGAAATGATAGACAACATGGAGAGAGTGTGAGGCCCACCAGAGCAGGAAATGATCCCCAATGGTGGATCCCAGTTTCTCTCCATCACTGTCCATTTTATTTGTCATGATGACGCTGTTGGCCTATGTTTGTCCATAGTCCATTGTACTTAGGGTTGGTAATGGGTCAGGTCAAGTCTGGGTTTAGCCGGACCTGGAACTGACCTGAAAATAGACTAGTGGGACCTGGACCAGGATTTGGACTTGAATGGTTTATAAGGGACCCGGACCCGACCTAAAAATAAAAAATAAAGAGAGAGAGAGAGAGAGAGAGAGAGAGAGACTAAAAAAAAAGAGAGCAAGCTAGTTATGACAGGATTAATCTCCACTGTTCATCTTATAAAAGAATAAACGGTGTGGATTAAACACATATTTCATTAATATGTTAAGGGAAAGAAGATAGTGAGACCATTTACCTTGGCAACAAGGTGGTCACAATTAATCTTGACCATTGGTTGTGAAATTGGGTGGCTGCATTTATTTCGTTGACCAAGCTCATATGCATATGCATTATTAAATGTATACTATATATATATATATATATATA